CCCCAAAACCCCAAAACCCCAAAACCCCAAAACCCCAAAACCCCATCACAATAATATATTTTGAAACCATAATAATTATAAAAGCAAGTACTTACTTATCATCTCTAGAAATCTAAATAAAAATGAACCGTCACGAGCAACTACAAATTCATAGTAAGTGAATTATGACCTTGCATGGCAAGAACCTGATTTACTAATTTAAGTTTTGTAGCCCTCTTGTCTAAAGGCGCTCTCAGTGATTCAGGGTCAAGCGACCATTCGGACGATGAAGATGAGAGTTATTATTTGCCTGATAACTGTCTTCAGTCAGCTTCTGGTAAGTTGCAAAGCTTGACAAGGAAAAGAATCCTGATTTTTCATAAATTTTGAGCTTTTTGCAATCAGAGCGTCTCTTTCCAATTTTTAGTTATCATTTTTAATATTTTCTAAAAAACAAGGATTGAAGATGAAAGATTTGCTAAAAGCTTGAACTGTTATAATCCCATTGGATTTAGTTTTACAAAGCAAAGGCGAAGGCGACCATATTCCAGGTGGGAAATCCCACCCAGGAGTTGAGCGTAAGTTTTCAATGAATTCACTAATTCCCAAAAAGATTCGGGCAGAAAACGATTCAATTCTGTGCCTAGATCACTTGATATGGCGAATATTGATATAATCTTTGATTATAGAAGTAGAAGAGAGCAAGAAGGTAAGTATTTCAAACCCAAGTATCCTTGATGAAGGAGAGACAGGGGCGCAAGCTCCTATGGAAATCCCATCATCAAAAGATGACGAGGGGGAAAACCTTCAAGGTAAGAACCAATGAACCATCACAAATAATCGAACCTTAGCATAGCCTTCTAATCGTCTTATAATTATTCCCTTCCATCCCCTTCTATTCGCTTCTTTCCCATCCCGACACCTTATCCCGAAATTCTACTCAAACAACTCAAAATTCTGATCTGCGAAAACCTGAGCAAACAGAACACCTCTGAGAATCTTAATTTCACATAGATCTACACTCTACTCCGCACTACAACCATCAATCTAAGAAAAACTCAATCATATAAAACAATTTCAAAATTTATTCTTTATTATGGGGTTTTGGGGTTTTGGGGTTTTGGGGTTTTGGGGTTTTGGGG